AAAAGCTTGTATTTAAAAGCAACTCCACTAGATGGAGCTCCTTTTAAAGTTGGGCCAACGTCCCCTTGCACTCACCTTCAGGATCCCAGGAGAGAGAAACTCCCAGAGGCAGATTTAGAAGACCTTACTTACCTTTTGGGTTTGGCTTAATCTTCAGATTAAGTAGAACCTCCTCCTACTTCCTTCCTGAATGGCCTCATCTACAATCAAGTTCCTTGTACTTTCTTCTGTCAAAGAGTAAAGAAAGGACCCATAATATTGGATGTATCACAAAATCAGCTGGCAACATGTGAAAAGAAAAGTTGTCTGGGGGCTCTCAGGGCCACAGGATTTAATACAGGAGGTGACTGTCTTAGAGTCAGTCTGGTGCCCGGCATGGCGACAGTCAGGTGGGCAGAGGCACTCAACAGACCTCATTGGTGGGCACAATCTGGCACTGGCTGACGGAGAGAAATTTATGCCTGTTAACACCTTTCTGTGACAGAGTCTATGGCCCTACCACAGTGAATGTGCCCGGTCTCATCTGGAACACTCAGAGAAGGCCCAGCTGAGGAGGATAGGATCATTTTGACACCATGACAGAATAGAGTGCATTTCCAGTTGGATGTGAAATACTTAAGACAGAAGAAAGGACCTGAGCCAACTTTTCCTGTCAAAATCACTGCATGTGTTTCAACATGGGAGTGCAGATGGGTAGCCAGCCAGCAAGCTCAGGCCAAAAACAAAGGGGACTGAATCGAATGAAACTCTGAGGAGCATTCTCAGACTGCCATTACTATATAATATACCTTAGAGATTTGCCCATTTATTGTCTATAAAAGAAAGTTTGCTTTTTCTAAGAGACAGCTGTTAAACACCAACTTCATAAGATTCTTCAGCCATAAACTGGAAAAAATTAGTTCCTCCCTAACCCTGCAATGATAAGGGTTGAAAATACAATGTGAAACTTCCTAGCAAAAGGCAAGTCCTTAATGATTAACCCCCTCTCCTCTCCTTGCTGCTGTTCTGTGAAGTTTGAAGGACTTTCTTCAAGTTATTGACATGATTTGCACACACATATCACCAAACCAAAGCTGCTTGGATACCTAGATTGTGCCATAGGCATAGCAAAAGCAAATCCTCTCATCTGCACCTTCACCCCTTCAAGGTGATTCAGTCGATCAACTGATGATGGAGAATATGGGGATATGGAGCTCTCTGTGCTCCAGTTTGTCTGCTGAATGGCCTTGAGAAAGGGCCCCCAAAGACAAAGCTAGGCATTCTGACATTCCCAAACCAACCTGGGCCCGTTTCTCCTCCAAAGACTGGCTACACTTTCTGGGCCATCTGAGGAATATTGTGAAATACAGTAGACTAATATGCTATTAAGTGCCCTCAATTTCCTTTTCTTTATCCCCTATTGCCTCTCTCATCAAGGTTGCTGGCCCCATTTTCCTTCACAAGGAAAGCAATTTGTTGATTTAACCATCCTCTACAATCACAACTTTGAAAGATCCAAAATTTGATCCCAGGAAAAAAAAAATCTGCAATTTTAAGGGAATGAACATTCATACACTGCTATCCACACACGATTCTTTCTCAGTTATTTATCACCAAGAAGATGGTGGAAATGTTTTAGAAAGCGAGGATCTTTGGGTGCCCTTGCCCTCATTTTAAAGATAACTCTGCTGTTCATTCTACCCTAAAACCTCAAAGAATTGTGTAGATTCCACTCAAGAAATGCTCCTACATTTTGAGAATTCACACCAGAGAAGGCCTTAACAGTGACCCTGTTAACTCTCATTGTTGTAAAAAATAAAAAATGCTTGGGCAGGATAGGTTGGGACTCTTGTTGCCCAAATTGCCAAATCAGCTTGTCAATAATCCCCCTCAGTCTCTGATGGATCAGGTTGATCTGCCTGTACTTGAGCTTCCTGCCAGAAGAAAATCCAATACCCTTTGGAAGACAATGAAAACAACCTAAACATCTTCTGTTTATATACCATGTACAGGCTGCTTTCAATCCAAAATTGTTAGGCTTGCCAGGTCACAGAAAAAACTGATAAAAAACCAAGAGAAACCAGGCATGGTGGTGTACACCTGTAATCCCAGCGCTCAGAAGGCTGAGGCAGGAGGATCGCTGTGTTTGAGACCAGCCTGGGCTACATAGTGAGTTCCAGGTAAGTCTCAACCACATAGTGAGACCCTGTCTCAAGTGCCCACCCCCCCAAAAAAACAAGAGAAAAAGTAGACAAAAGAAATTGGCCCACAGGTGATCTAGATAGTGGAGTTATCAAACATGGCCTGATTAATATATTTCAGAAAGTAGATTTTAAAGTGAAAACTGGAATTCATATTTTTAAAAAGTATCAAATAGACTCTTAGAACTGAAAAACACCCAGCTAAAGTCGGGAATTTAATGAAAACAAATGTATAGAAGAGTAGACATAGCAAAAGAGAGTGAAATAAGAGGTCAGGATTAAAGTATCAATTCTGAAGCATAGAGATGAAACAATTTTAAAAACACAGAGATCATACTTAACATACAACACATAGTTAAGAGAGCTAGCACATATAATTGGGGTCCCAGAGAGAAAGAGAAAATAGAAAACAGAGCACACTAAATATGTATTGAGATACTGTCTGAAATTTTTCAGAAATGAAAACATTAAGTCACAGAATCACTAAAAACTCCAAGTAATATAAATACAAAAAAACTATGCATAGGCAACACTATAGTCAAATAAAAACAAAATACAAATATAAAAGTCTTGGAAGCAACCAAAGAGAAAAGATAGATTACTTTTAATAGAGCAATTGTAAAAGTAACAAATAACCTCTCACATAGAGGCGAGATAATGGAATAATATATTTTAAATGCTCAAAGGAAGAAAATATCAATTTATAATTTATCCAGAAAAATATTCTGTAAAAAATATAGGCAAAATAAAAACATTTTCAGAAAAATACAGGAATTCTTCACGTGTAGACTTATACTAAATAAAAGTAATAAATACTAAGGAAATTCTTCAGTTAAAAAAGAAAAATGACCCTAGGTAAAAATGGAGTAATACAGGAAGAAAAGAACACTGAAAAGGAAAACAGGTAATCCGAATTAAAAATTTAATATTTAAAACAATAATAAAACTCATCCAGGGTTTGTCACATATGTAGAAATAAAATATATAATAAACATATGATAAAATATATATAAGTTAACAATAGTAGTGTCAAAAGTTGGGTAGAAGGGGTTAAAGTTCTGCTAGGTCTTCTGTTTGGTCTTGATCATTTAAGATAAATGAGTAAATCCAAGATCGTGCCATCTTCACTGGAATAACGCTGTCAACAGGAGTTCAGCAGTGACAGAAATCTGTATCTGAGCTGTCCTGCATGGATTGAACATTGAAAAGCATCTAATACAATGAAGGAAATAACTTGTTATTATGTTTAATTTTAATTAATATAGATTTAAATAGCTGTATATAGCTATAGCTAATGTCTATGTATTGGGTTATTTGGCTCTAGGACAATTACTAAAAGAACAAAGGAAGGGTGTATAATGAAGAGAGCTTATGATGGAGAAATACAGCAAGCTCCAAAGTTCCTAAGGACGTTCATTGTCCACAGTGAGTTGTACACAGCATAGATAGTTACAATCTTTTTTCAAATACCATGTCTTATGATTTTTTAGGCTTACATTCTGTACCATCTTTAGTGGTCACTGCTTGGTACTGCTAAAATTTCAGAGCTAAGTTCCAGCCAGTTTTTAGGGGACATTCCATCCCCATAAGAAAGACACAATCATTAAATAAGCAGACATGATTACTTCTAACATAAACATGATTTTATTTCTGTTCTTTCAGCCTTGAGGCTTGAAATCTAAACTACTACATCTCAGAATCCCCCAAGCTCACTCCTTATCCAGACTAACTGCCTCTTTTACAGCTCCTCTAGGTAAGCCCCACAGGCCAGAACCACACCCTTCAAGCTTCAAGTGGACTTTCAGGAATGTTCACTCAGAACCCAATCTACAGAAATGATTTCCTTCACCCAAATCTTCCAGTATGGGTTCAACCAGTTGCTCTGATACAGAGTGCAAAAAAATCTCTATTTTGAATAAGAGGATTTAGATGTCTCTCTAGATCAAGAGGGGCTGGATTTATTTTCCCCCAAAAAGGAAAGTAGAGAACCAACAACCTGCAGAACACTGATGCTTCTGCTTGCTTCCATGACACAGATGGCTCCACGTCTCTGTTCCTCCAACTTCTAGAACATCAAGGTAAAATGAGGACAGCAGGGAAAGGTATCAAAATTACAGAGATCAAGGGATTTTTATAAGAGTTTTCAGAGGTAAAGACCTGAAATCATGTATTAGAAATTTACATGTGAAAAACTATAATAATACACAAGATCCTAATGGGAAAATTAATAGCATGAAATAGGAAGAAAAGGGCTAACAGTGTAGGGAAAGTGGGAAGGGTAGGGGAAAGGGAACAAGGGAAAAGAAAAAAATATGAGAAAATGAAAAAATGGAAATAAAGTGTTTGTAAATGGGGAAGGGGGAGGGGGAGAAGGGAGGGCAGGGACAAAGGGAAAAAATGAGAACCAAGACCTGTCTTATGAAGGTACAGGATCCCAGTAATGAATGTAACTGTATTGTATACCTAGATTGTACCAATAAACTCTATAAAATTAAAAAAAAAGAAATTTACAAATCCATGAGATGGCGATTAGCTTTGAAAAACTGAGAGTTTGTTTCACTAAATTCCTGACTACCAAATGAAGAGAGTAATCTCTGAGAATACAAATTAGGTAATTTTGGAGCAAATAAGACTGAAACCTTTCTTACACTAGGATGAATCCAATCTTTTTTCATTTATTTGTTTTTACTTTAAAATATGGTATTCAAAC